ATATAACAGTATTTACCTCTGTTTCTTTTACCTCTTGCTCTCCTCTCTGTGTCTTTGCTAGTCTTCAGCATTCTTCCAGCTTTCCTCTTGTTGTATATTGCTTTCTCCATCACCCAAGTTAACACATGTCTACCAACTACCAGCTGTTCTGTGGGAGAAAGATGAGGCTTTCTGCTCCTGTAAAGATTTGCAGCCTCGGAAACCCTGTGCAGGGTCACTATGAGTCGGAACCGACTCCACGGTACTTAATAACAACAACAACAACAACAACAACAACAACAACCCTTTAGCTAGTCAGTTACTCTCCCTTCCCTCCCACCCCTTCAAAGAATGTTTCTTTCAGCATGAAAACCTTTTCTTGACTTTTTCCAATACAATATTTGTCCTTTTGTGATTGACTAATTTCATTCAGTTTAATGTTCTCCAGGTTCATCCATGTTCTGTTTTGCAGATTCATTATTTTTCAATGTTGCATACTATCTCATTGTGTGCATGTACCAAAGTTCTATTTATCCATTCTTCCATTGATGGGCATAGTGGTGTGATGTGAATAGTGGTGTGATGAACATGGGTGTGCATATATCTATTTGTGTCATGATTCTTATTTCTTGAGGACATATACCAAGTAGAGGGATTGTTGGAGCGCATGGTACTCCAGTCCCAATTTTGTGAGAAAGTGCCATACTGTTTTCCACGGTGGTTGCACAATTCTACAGTCCTATCAGCAGGGTCGGAAGGTCCCAGTCTCTCCACAACCAGGCCAGTATTTGTTGTTTTCTGAACTTTGCTGTTAATGCTGGGGTGAGATGATATCTCATTGTTGTTTTAGTGTGGCACTGTGGGTTAATGCGCCAGACTGCAAAGCCATTTGAACTGCAAGGTCGGCGGTTCAAGCTTACCAGCTGCTCCTCGGAAACCCTACACAGGGTTGCTATGGGTCGGAACTTACTCGAAGGCCCTTCACAACAACAACAATAGTTAATGATCATGAACATTTCTTCATTGTCTGTTGGCTACCTGAATGTCTTATGGTGAAGTTTATGTACACTGCCCATTTTAAAAACTGGACTGTTTTTTCCTTGTTGAAGTGTTTACATTTTCTATAAATTTTAGATATTAATTCCTTATCTGCTCTGTCATTGCAAACATTTGTTTCCCAGTCTGTAGGTTTTCTTATTACTCCTTTGGCAAAATCTTTTGATGCAGGATTAAAAATTTCTAAAAGTCCTGATGTGGCGCTCTAGGATAAGCACTCGACCACAAGGTTGGTTTGAACTGCAAGGTCAGTAGCTCAAACTCACTAGCCAGTCTTTGGAAACCCTATATAGGGTTGCTGTGAGTCAGAACTGACTTGATGGCACTTAACAACAACAACAACAACAACATAGGATCTATAGCTTATACATATTTCTTATTAACAGTTTTATTATACCTAATGTTTGCATTGTACTTTATTTATAAAATGATTTCAATCACATTACGTTGTTTATCCCTTATTTCATTCATTCAATTTATTCATTCAATGTACATTATTTATTCATTCAATTCATTCATTCAATGTACATTAATTAAATCCCCCCTTTTTGCCAGGCCCTGGGCTGCAGACAGAAATTAGATTTGGATCTCATTTTAAGGGCTTATAGACTGGCAAGAGAGGAGGGAGAAAGAAAGGAGTCTGATGTAGTCCAAAGCAGGTCTATATGAGTCATAGAAAGCTTCCTGGAGAAGTGACATTTGAATCGACTCAAAGGGTCGGAGTTGTCAGCTAAGTAAGGAAGGGGACCAGCAAGTGCAGTGTTTCTGTGTGGTGAGAGTGTGTAAGGTGCTGAGAAATGGCATGTAAGGCAATACGACCCTGAGTTCTGCTGAGGAGAGTGGATAGTGCTGAGAGGTGACGCTGGTGAAGTAAGGAAGAGCAAGATCCCGGAGGGCCTTATAAACCATGCCATGGAGCATTGGAATGAATCCCAAGGTTATAAACATTCACTGGACACTTTAAAGATGGGGTTAACTTATTCATATTTTCAGTTTAGAAAGATTACTTTGTCTCTATAGCATAGAGGATTAGTGAAGGGAAACAAGCCACTAGAGGAGACAGATTCCTCATTGGGGAGTAGGAGCTATCACTCTTATTTTACAAATGATAACACTGAAGTTTGACGAGATGGTCTGAATCGTCCATCACTTGTAGCCAGCCTTGAATTGCTGGCTCAGTGGTTTTTCTAAGATCTTATCTTTCATTACTCTTCTTTATGGCTCATGAACTTCAGACAAATGGATAACTGATTTCACTCTATGTTTTCTTATTCCCATATCTGTTCTGCAATCTTTGCCTTGAATACCTAATGCTGATATCTGTCACTCTAATACTACTCATCTGTGAGGGCCTGTCTCAGAGGCTGCCTCTTCCAGGAAGTCTTCCTTGGTCTCCTCAATGAGACATAGCGCTCCTTCTTTTGAATTTAATATTCAACAGAAATTTTCTTCTAGCATTTAACATGTTCTGTTTTGTTTATAAGCAAGCCTGGTGGCTCTGTGGGTTAGATGCTCTAACCACAAGGTTGGTAGTTCAAACCTACCAGCTGCTCTTCAAGAATCTCAGAAACCCTATACATTGTCTCTGTATGTCAAAATTGACTTGATGCTGTGGGTTTTGTTTTGTTTATATGACTTATTCATCTAAGATTGTATATTCTCTGAGCCTGTGGTCTAAGTTAATTTATCCTGAACTTCCTCAAAAACAGTGTTTTTGTTGTTTTTAGGTGCCATCAAGTTGGTTCTGGTTTATATTAACTCTATGTTGAAAAGTCTATTATCTTTTCATTTCATTTGTGCATGAACTTTCTGAAGTCCCCTGGTAGAACAGAATGAAATACTGCCCAGTCTTGCACCATCCTTACAATCATTGCTATATTTGAGCCCATGGTTGTAGCCACTGTGTCACTCCATCTCCTTGCAAGTCTTCCTCTTTTTGATTGGCACCCTACCAGGCATAACATCCTTCTCCAAGGACTGGTCCCTGCTGATAACATATCCAAAGTACATGAGATGAAATCGCCCCATCTTCACTTCACTCCTTGCTGTACTTCTTCCAAGACAAATTTATTCATTCTTCTGGCAGTTCACGGTATATTCAATATTCTCTACCAATACCATAATTCAAACCCATAACTCTTTGGCTTTTCTTATTCATTGTCCAGCTTTCATATGTATATGAAATGATTCAGCCAGAATGCTTAGAAGCGAGGATGGCAAGACTTCCTCTCTCATACTTTGGACATACTGTTAGGAGGGAGTAGTACCTAGAGAAGGACATCATGCTTGGAAAAGTGAAGGGACAACATAAAAGAGGAAGACTCCCAACAAGACAGACTGATACAGTAGCAGTAACAATGAACTCAAACATAACAACAATTGTGAGGATGGCACAGGACCAGGCAGGGTTTCATTCTGGTGTGCAGAGGGTCGTTGTGATTGAAATATGAGGTGATTGAAAATATCCTGGCTTGGATTAGACACACCTTAGTTCTCAAAGATATCACCTGAAAGAGGTCTTTTGCAGCAGATTTGACCAATGAAATATATTGCTTGATTTCTTGACTGCTGTTTCCATGAGTGTTGATTGTGGATGCAAGTAGAATTAAATCCTTGGCAGCTTCAATCATTTCACCATTTATTGTGATGTTGGTTATCGATCCAGTTGTGAGTATTTTTTTATATTGAGATGTAATCCATACTGATGGCTGTGGTCTTTGATATTCATCAGTAAATGCTTCAAGTCCTCTTGGCTTTCAGCAAGCACAGGTTGTGTAATTTGCATATTTCAGGTTATTAATGAATCTTCTTCCAATCCTGATGCCATGTTCTTCTTGCTATAGCTCATTTTCTCAGATTATTTGCTGAGTATACAGATTGATTAAGTATGCACACACCTTTCCAGATTTTATATCACTCAGAATCTATTCTAACAACTACCTCTTGATTGATGGATAGGTTCCATATGACCCTAGTGAAATGTACGGGAATTGCCACTCTTCACAATTTTATCCATAATTTGTTATGGTCTACACAATCTGTCAATAAAGCACAGATGGACATCTTTCTGGTATCCTCTGCTTTCAGCCAATAGCCATCTGATATCAGCAATGCTATCCCTTATTCCACATCCTCTTCTGAATCTACCTTGAGTTTCTGGCAGTTCTCTGTTGATGTACAGCTGCAACTGTTTTTGAATTGTCTCCAGCAAAATTTTATGTGTGTGTGATATAAATGATATTGTTAGATGATTTCCAAATTCTTACGAACTTGGGTCAAATAACATTTACTGAATGAATGAATAGATGAGTGGGTGCATGGGGGAAGGCCACTTCTGTCTCTGAGATAGTTGGGATTGAAGGAGGGTGGGATCTGGAGGCTTCAGGAAAGACATTAAGGGACTTAAGCAGATGATATTGAAAGTGCCATGGGCTGCCAAAGAACCAATAGATCCGTTTTGGAAGAAGTGCAGCCAGAATGCTCCTTAGAGGCCAAGATGGCCAAACTTCGTCTCTCATACTTTGGACATATTGTCAGGAGGGAACAGTCGCTGGAGAAGGATATCATGTTTGGTAAGGTGGATGGTCAGAGAAAAAGAGGAAGACCCCCAACGAGATGGATTGGCCAAATGGCAGCATCGATGGACTCAAGTGTGGCAACAGTAGTGAGGTTGGCCCACGATCGGGCAGTGTTTCGTTCTCCTGTGCATAATGTTGCTATGGGTCAGTACCGACTCGATGGTACCTAACAACAATAACAACATCATCAATGGGAGGCAGCACAGAGAATGGTTAAGAGTGTGGACTTTGGAGTCGGTCAAATCTAGATTCAAGTCCTTGCTCTGACACTGGCTGGGTGAGTGGGGTTATGATTTGCAGGAGGGCAGAGAGGACCTGGAAAGGTGTTTCTGGGTATATAACAAGGAGTCCCCAAGATGAACAAGGTTTGTAAGTGGCAGTGAAGGCATGGCCAAGGTTAGAGAGCAGGAACTTCAACTGGGATAGAACATACATTTTTGTGACTTTTCTTGGCAATCTTTAATGTGGGGATGGCAGAGATCCTGATGTCTGACAACTGTTTTCCCAGAGTCTGATGATGGATGACCAAGGCCCTGTGGAGGCTCAGGATGCAGAGGATGGTCCAGGGCTTGGGATTGTCACAGCGGAGCTGGGAAACCAACTATGGAAGCCCGAAGTGGAGCAGCAACCCAGTAGGCCAGACCGGGCTATAGGGGAATGACTGGGATGGTGGTGGTGGTTATGTGCCGTGGAGTTGGTTTTGACTCATAGCGACCCCATATAGGGTTTCCGAGGCTGAAAATCTTTATGGGAACAGAAATCCTCATCTTTCTCCCATGGAATGGCTGGTAGGCTCGAACTGCTGACCTTGAGGTTAGCAGCCTGACTCGTAACCACTACGCTACCAGAGCTCTTTAATGACTGGGATTGTAGCGACCCTGTATAGGGTTTCCAAGGAGAGACTGGTGAGCTTGAACCACTGACCTTCAGATTCAAACGACTTTGCAGTCTGGCGCATTAACCCACAGTGCCACACCAGGACTCCAATGACTGGGATAGGGGAAGTGAATGTACAAGCTTTCTATATTCCCACATTGTCTTCTTCCCAGATCCTCCTTGGTTGACCCAGATGATGGTGGGTGGGAGGTTAAATCACTAGATATTTATCCCCAGATCTGCTTTCACTCCCTGTTTCCCATTTGGGGGCTTCAGTGGAATACAGACTTCCAGGAGGGCTTTCAGCTCTGTGGGCTTAGTGATGATGGGGCAGGGGTAGGTGGGCAGGGTGCAAGAAAGACAGCACAGTGGGCACTGAGCACTATGGTGGTACCTCAGGGTGGAGTCAGGTTGGTTGGCAGGAGCAGGAACCAGACATGCCTCTGCCCTCTTTCAGTCTCTCAGGTGGGGCGCTGGTGCTCGGTGCGACGCAGCTGTGCAGTGATGGGAATTCTGGGGTTGCTGGCTGGTGTGGGCATCGGCTCATGGCTTCTAGGTCAGTACTGTGGATTCTTCAGTGGTCTGAGGGGAGACAACAAATAAGAACTGGGTGAGTTTGGGAGAGAGAAGGAGGTGCTGGGCATGTATTAAAAGTAGACAGTGAGATGAGAACTTCCTCATCTACTGTGAGTAGGCAAGGGAGAAGGGATGTAGGTTCTTCATAAAGAACTTTTGATTCCTGAAGTGAGAAGTGGAAGTTACTTGAACGTAGGACCCAAAAAAGCTTTGTTGTCATAGAGACCCTGTATAGGGTTTCCAAGAAGCGACTGGTGGGTTTGAATCTCCAACCTTGTGGTTCAAACTGACCTTGTGATTCAGCACATTATCCTGCAGTGCCACACCAGGACCCCACAATTTTTCTAGAAATATTTTCCAGTGAGCTAGAGCTATGCCTGTCCTCTGGCAGGTTAGTGGGGGAAACTGCCTGAAGGTAGCTGCTTTTGCCTCTGCCTGAGAATGTCTTATTATCACCTGCTCTCCTTTGTTTTGGAATCCTCCTACCAAGTTCTTCTCTGCTACCCACTCTTGTTCTCTCAAGTCCTGTATCTATGGCCAGCTCCCTCTCAGCCTGCTTCTGGGACCTTGCAGGGTGAGGAGATAGCTTTGAACTGCTCAGGACACAGCAGTGAGGAAGCTCTGCTACCCTCACCTCCAAAAACAGGTGGGTCATACCCCTCAGCCTTCCAGCCTCCTTCCCCAACCCAGGGCCCCTCCAGAGCTCATTCATAGCTCTGGGACCCCCACCTTCTGGTAGAAGACAAGAGGACCAATATGAAGGGTCATCGATTTGTTGTCTCCTTCCTCCAGTGTGAGAGTAGTGACAAGGCCCAGCCTCAGAGTTGGGGCTTTGAGTACTTCCTGGAGACTTTCTTGACCTTTAGCTGGGGCATGGTCAAGAACTCAGGTTGGCAGGAGGGGTGGAGACTTACCATTTGAGTTAGAGTGAGCCAATAGTTATGGGGGAGGAGGAGCCAGGGATGTGTTGGGTGAGTCAGGGAGCAGCCAGCAGGGATCTTTGTCCTATGATCACATAAAGGGCTGGGAATATCACTCCACACCCTTGTCTCCCATCATCCTTCCTTTCCAACTCAAAGTTGGGGACTGGTTATGATGCTGCCCCGTGGCTGGGGTTTAGAATGTATACATAGGCTAGTATTTAAATGCACAGGTTTGGAGTTGGTCTTTTCTAGATGTGTGATCTTCGGTTCAATATTTCTTTGTACTTCCATTTTCTTCTCTATAACATGGAAATAAAACTATGTATTGCATAAAGTTAATATAAGGATTAAATGATCTAATGTGTGAAAAGAACTTAATGCAGCACCTGGAAAAATTATACACTCAGTCGGTAGTAATGATGACTATGATTAAGACAAGATGTGGAATCAGAAGATATGGACTTAGGTCCTGGATCCTTCACTTACTGATTCTGTGATCTTGGGCAGGTTGTTTAACATCTCTGGACAGAGTGAGGAAATGGTGATACTGTCATGCAACCAGTGACAGAACCCACGTAAAAGCACTTGGTTACACAATGAAACCAAGGTGCTCCACAGATAGTTGTTTTGTTCTCAGCTGGCCTGACCCCCTGAGGAGCAGGTGCCTGATGTTGGTTACCCAGGTACTATCTTTAAGGCCTCCACAAGTCCCCCTGTGCCCCGGGTTCAGCTCCTGCTGTCTCTGCACTCCCCACCTCCTTTCTTCGCAGCAGGTGGGATGGAGTTTTCATGCTGTGATTTCAGTATCTTTCAGAATAAACACCGAGGACTTCTTGTTGGAAGCACAGGTGAAGGCCCGACCAGACTGGCTCCTGGTATGCCATGAAGGCTGGAGCTCGGTCCTGGGGAGGAGGGTCTGCCAGAGCCTTGGGCATCTCAGGTAACTGGAGCCAGACCTGGGCACTGGGAGGGTGGAGGGCTGGTGGGCAGGGAGGGGGGTGCTAGAGGCCTTTATCTCTGCTCCTTAATAAAGATCAGTGTTTGAAGAAGCCATTTCTAGAGTCTTGCTCTGTCTGTAACTATACTGTTTAGTATCACATGACTTTAACTGTCATTCAAGCTCGTTTCCTCCTGTTTCCATTTCCTGTTCTTCTGCACAGACTCATGCATCACAAGGGTGTGAACCTGTCTGACATCAAGCTCAACAGCTCCCAGGAGTTTGCTCAGCTCTCTCCTAGACTGGAGGGCCTCCTGGAGGATGGGTGGCAACCCAGGTAGGGCTTCTGAGGAGGTTAGGTGTGTGGGCTTCCTTACTTCCTTCATGGGAATGCAATGGTGAGAGCTGTACAAGAACAGATAAAGAGGCATGTTTCCCAATCGGAAGTTAGAAACTCAACTCACAGGAGCCCTGTTTACTACTACTTGATGTACTCATCTTGTCATAGAATTTGAAATAGAACTTTTCATTCCCATTTTACAGGTGGGGAAACTGAGGCTCAATGAGATAAAGGGCCTTATCCAAGACTCTAATTATCTACATAATTAACTATCAGTCAAACCAAGTCTTCCATCCAGGCTCCTGTTTCCAAATTAGATGTTCTTTCCACCTGGCCACACTATACGTGGATAATTATGGTCTCTGGGGACCAGTGAGGTAGTTGAGTCCTTCTGGGTATGAGCCCCCTAGAGAAGAGGGGCTTCCCCAATACTGGGGGAGGGTCTGAAGTATGTCAGCCATCTGCCCGGGCTTCCTCAAATTGCTAGCAGTCTTTTGGGTTGATTGCTAATGACTGCCCAAATCTGTGCAGCTTCTTAGATCTGAACCATTCCTCAGGGCCTTCCTCCCTGGTCTTTGTCTTCTGAAAGTTCCTGCATAGGAACCAGGTGGGAAGATGTAGGAGCCCCTGAATGGTGCCTGTCTTAAATACTTGGACAGGCAAATGGAGGCAGGAATGGGATTGACTACTTACTCCCTGAGAGTCTATGGGTTGTGGGTTTAGGAAACTTGAAGAAACTGAGAGCATTCAGGCATTGGGCTGTGTGTGTTGGGGGATGGGGGTGAAGATGTGTAAGGACAGAGAAGAGAGTTTTGATCAAAAAGGAATTGAGGCTGCTAGGAGGGATGGGGAGCAAGAATATGAATGTGCAGGTTCAGGCAAAGGGCTGGGGAGAAGCTTGTGGTGAAGAGTAGTGTTCCCTCATTCATTCACTTGGAGGTGTCATAGTCCAGATAGGGCTTCTAAGGAGTTTAGGCTAATGGGGCTTCTTCCCTTCGTTTATCCATTAACTCAAAACAGCTGGGGTTTGTCATCTGGAAATGCTCTCTTTGTAAATTTGGGCCCTGTACAAATTGCCCTCAACGACTCTGAAGTCCTGCTGTTACCCTTGGGGAATATGTGCAGCTGTCTTGTAGACCTGTTGTGAGGAGGTGACTAGGGGTTTTGTAGAGGTGAGGGTAACAGTTGTGGGGGAGTAAAGAGGGCAGGAGAAAATGGTGGCATTCTGAAGGCTGTGACTACATGTGAAAGGCTCACTCTACCCCCACCAACTACCCCCATGCTCCACGCCCTGGGTGGGTAGGTGTGGCCTCAAGGTGGGTCCTGTCCAGCTTCTTGCTGACACCTCTGTCTTTCAGGGCCAACTGTACCTCTGGCCGAATAGTCTCCCTCAAATGCTCTGGTAAGTCATGTCTTTGGCCCAGGAAGGTATTGATGGGAATAAAGATACCCCCCAACCTGCCCTGGGATATGGAAGAATCCCATATTACAGCTCAGCTGTGTCTGGGGTGGGGTTTCCTGCCAGCCTCTCCATCTGTCTGCCAGACCCTTCTTATAGACACAGTTGTGCCAAAACGAATTCCCCCCTAAGTCAGGCCCCTACCCAGTCCCTGGTCTAAGCTGCAGTTCTTCTTGCTTCACTACCTGGCTCTCTCAGTCTTGACTTCTGACAGTGACCTCCTACTGCTTCTGGAAATCCCAGTCAATGGTGAACTTATTACTGGTCATGAGTAACCTGTTAGCAGCTTCAGAAAACTGGGGTTGGTGGGTGCGGTTGAGTCCATTTCCACGCTGCCGAGTAGAACTGTGCTCTGGAGTTTTCTAGGCCATAAGCTGTATGGAAGCTGATCATTAGGCCTGTCTCCTGTGAATCACTATGGGCTCTAACGACCAACCTTTGTTAGCAGCTGAGCGCTTAACCATTTGTTGTTGTTGCTGTTAAGTGCCATCGAGGCAATTCCAACTCATAGTAACCCTGTATAGGGTTTCTGAGGAACAACTGGTGGGTTTGAACTTCTGACCTTGTGGTTTGCAGTCCCGTGCTGATTCTACAGTGTCATACCAGAAGCCCAGCAGGCTCCTTGTTGTTGTTGTTAAGTGCCGTTGAGTTGGTTCTGACATATACCGACCCATAGCGACCCTGTACAGGGTTTCCGAGGCTGTAAATCTTTACGGGAGCAGAAAGCCTCACCATTCTCCCTTGGAGTGGCTGGCAGTTTCAAACTGCTGACTTTAAGGTTCGCAGCCCGATTCGTCACCACTACGCTACCAGGGCTCCTTGTTGTTGTTAAGTGCCGTCGAGTCGGTTCCGACCCATAGCGACCCTGTACAGGGTTTCCGAGGCTGTAAATCTTTACGGGAGTAGAAAGCCTCATCTTTCTCCCGCGGAGTGGCTGGTAGTTTCGAACCGCTGATCTTAAGGTTCGCAGCCCGATTCGTAACCACTACGCTACCAGAGCTCCTACCAGGGCTCCTTAGAGGGGGTAAATTAAGAGTCAGATGGGAAACAGTTTGTGAAGGTCTTGCATCTGTTTGTCTTCCTATTCATCCATTCACCTATTCATGCACATATCCATCCACCCAACCAACAGTTTTAACTCCTTCTATTGAACAGGCCTGGTGTAGCATTGTAGGATAAGTGCTGGGCTGCAAAGTTGGTTTGAAATACAAGGTTGGCAGTTCAAACTCACCAGACGCTTCTCAGAAACTCTATACAGGGTCCCTATGAGTCAGAACCAACTCGACGGCACTTAACAACAGCAACTGGACAGACATTATGTTAGATATGGGTACTATGCAGACATAATCTCTATTCTTAGGGAGCTCACAGCCTGGGGAGAAAGACAGCTATGTGTGTAATTTGCATTTCTACCCCCCAGTTCCCCCACACCTAGGACCCCAAATAATAAACAACAGCTGCCCTCCCTGACTCACAGGGGCTTGGCACATGCCATGTTCCCTGAGAGTTAGGACCATGTTGATACCTCCCTCCTTCTCCCTCTCTCTGGTTTGTTTTTACCCTTCTCTGTTGGCAGAGTGTGGGGCAAGGCCCCTGGCTTCCAGGATTGTTGGCGGGCAGGCTGTGGCTCCAGGGCGCTGGCCATGGCAGGTCAGCGTGGCTTTGGGGTCCCGGCACACGTGTGGGGGCTCCTTGTTGGCGCCACACTGGGTGGTGACTGCTGCGCATTGCATCCACAGGCAAGTCCCTGGGGGGCTGCTGGGGTGCGGTGGGGGTGGGAGAGTGCCTACTCACCTTTCCTGTGTGTCTGGGTCCAGTTGTCTGCTTCCATGCGACTGCTCTAAGATTGGTTCTTGGTAGTTGTTCAGGTTTTTATTTTTTAGGATTCTTTTTCTATTCATAGCACTCCACTTCTCAACATGCATCTCCACTGTAATTACTTTTCCATGTAATTATTTGTTTAACATCTTTCTTCCTTTGTAGATTGGAAACTCCAGGGGAGCAGGGGCTCTCAATCCTGTTTGCCATTGATCTCATTGACAATTTTCCCACCGCTGTGTCCCCAGGGCCTAGAGCTGACTCTAAAATATGCCAGAAAATCCCCAACTCACTGCTATCTAGTTCATTCCAACTCCCAGCTACCACACAGGACAGAGTAATACGGCTGCTTAGGGTTTCTGAGATTGTAATTTTTTTTTTAAAGTTTTTTTTTGTGGATTGAGTGAAAGTTTACAGGGTAGATCATCACTTTTACATTCAACAAATCATACATGAGACTGTAAATTTTTACAGAAGTAGACAACTTCATCTTTCTCCCATGGAGTAGCTGTTGGGTTTGAATATCTGACCACTATGCAAATTGATTGCTGGGTGAATGAATGAATGAATGAATGAATAAGCTCTTTGATCCTCACCTCCCACCTAGAGGCAGGGCAGATAGGGTAATCTCTATTGCACAAGGAAACTTGAGTTTGAGAGAGGATAAATGACTCCCCATAGTAAGTGTAGAGACAGGCTGATTGATGCTTGTCTGACTTGGCTTGTTGTTGTTATGTGCCGTCGAGTTTTTTTGACTCATAGCGACCCTGTACAGGGTTTCCAAGGAGTAGCTGGTGAGTATGAGACACGAACCTTGCAATTCAAACTGAGCTTGTGGTCTACTGTTTATCTTACAGCACCATGCAAATAATGAAATTACATAGGGAGGGTATTGATGTTTGATGTTGTGTTGATGTTTGGGGTCTGGGGTGAGACAGAAGAGAGGGGTGGTGGTTAGGGATGACTAACAATGTCTTGTGTCTCCACCTGTGAAACTGTGAGTGTTTATTAGGCACTTACTGCATGGGAAGTCTCTTTTCATCTGCTGGAGGTGGGAGGTGGTGGTGGTGGTATTAAAAGGTGTCTTCCCTTTGTTCTGCGAGCACACACCTAGTCATGAATGCCCCAGTAAGGGCCTCTCTGACCAGCCTTTTCCACCTGCCATCTCCCTTAAGCCAACTTTTTCTGTGCCATCCTTCCCTGGTCTCAGCGTGGCCCCTGTGTGCAGTTTCAGGCTGTCCCGCCTGTCCAGCTGGCGAGTTCATGCTGGGCTGGTCAGCCACAGCTCTGTCCGGCCACACCAGGGGACTGTTGTGGAGAGGATCATCCCCCACCCACTCTATAGCTCCCAGAACCATGACTACGACGTTGCCCTCTTGCGTCTCCGGACCCCGCTCAACTTCTCTGGTGAGGTGCTGACTTGGAGTGGGGGAGAGGGCAGACTGGGGCTATGGGGAAAGGATCTGGGGCAGGCAGGGTGGGAAGAGAGGCAAAATGATTTCTAAGGTTTCCTTATGACTCTGTAAGCATCAAACCACTCATTTTGGTGACTGTAATGGATTTTGGCGTAACCTGGATCGACAGTTGCATCACTTCCTGTACAAGCTCTTGTCATAGCGGCCAGGCAGACATCACAGCTGCTGCATCTATAACAGGGTGGTCCTCATTCCTAGCCATGTTAATGGGGCATTACAGTTAACAAACTTGCTTATATTCTCCCAAATATCCTTTTATTCAGTCTTGATAAGAACCTGACAGGTAGATAGAGCAGGTGAATACAAACAGGGATACTAAAGTTTAGGGAGGAACATGACTCTCTTCAGAGTCATTCAGAACATGGACCCTGGTCCTGAGTCCAGCTCCAGTGCTCCTCCTATACCAGAGTCTGTTCTAGGGAGGCAAATCCAGCAACAGTCAGGCTGCCCCCTGCCAACACCCACACATGACTCATACACACATCCAACACACACTCATGGACTCAACATGCATTCATCATACTCATGCACATGTACACACAGACACTCACACACACACTTCACACGTCCACACATACTCTTGCATACATGCACATGCTCACAAGGTACTCACACCTGTGCACACTCACACCATACACACTTATGTCACACACACACACTGAGTTTCACACCCACACACACTCATGAGCATACCCACATTCACACATGCACATACTCAGGACACCTCCCTCCTTCCCCGCCTTGGGTTTTCCAAACAATGCTAATCAGTCATTGTTAAACTCTATTCACTATTGTTCAACAGCTAACATTTAAATAATTGACTTAAATAAATATATTTTACAAAAGGAAGCTTCTTGCTACTACCTAGCTGGAGAACCTATGTTATTTACATAATAAATGGATAGTAAACACAGAGATACACAGAGCAAAAACAAAATAGTGTGTAAGTTGTATCTTCTCTGCTGAAGAAGCGGGACCTGGTCCTGCCCTCTCTTGTTCAACAGGAGGCTGGTGGCATTAGGGAGCTGACGCCTCCAGTAGAGTCTTTCTCCTTAAAGAAGTCAGAAAGACTGGACGGGAACTGAAAAGGAAGCAATTTTCTTCCCGTGCCAATCAATATTTATTTCATGGCATGTCCACATACTACCCAAAATGATGGCTGGGCTCTACCGGTAGGACAAGTTACACACTTTTGGAAACAGTGCCAAGAAAAATCCAACACCCTGGGGGAGAATCCCAGGTGGGTATTCATTAGAAACTGGGTTCCTGTGTCCAGAAGGAATTTCCATTTGTCCCCTGCCTCCCAGCAGGACCGGGTTAGGCAGGTGTGTGTGCTCTGCCCACCCTTAGGGGAGCTATGCACATTGTGATTTACACACTGTCCTCTAGGAGAATGGAGACCCCTAAGATGGAACCCTGGTGTGGCGCTGTAAGAGAAGCACTGGACTGCTAATCACAAGGTTGGCGGTTCAAACCCACCAGTTGCTCCTTTGAAACCCTACATAGGGTCGCTGTGAGTTGGAACTGACTCGACAGCACTTGGCAACAACAACAAAGGTAGTAGTCCTGGTATGCTTTAGGATAAGCACTGGACTGCTAACCACAAGGTCAGTGGTTCAAACACACCAGTGTATCCTTGGAAACCCTATACAGGGTTGCTGTGAGTCAGCAGGGACTTGATGGCACTTAGCAACAACAACTGTGTGGTACAGTACAGAACTTGCATAGTGGGACAAGACCCCTAGCTTTTCATGACAGAAAACAAGGTGAGAAGGGGGGCAGGTGGGCCTCCCTCTCAGGCCCTGGGGGAGGGAAGCTGAATCTGAGTGGGAAGAGGACTTCATACAACTTCACAGATACCGTGGGTGCCGTGTGCTTGCCAGCCAAGGAGCAGCATTTCCCAAGGGACTCAGACTGCTGGGTGTCTGGCTGGGGCCACACCGACCCCACTCATAGTGAGTGAGATCCCAAGCATCCTTGGTGCAAATGAGCAGGGAGCGGGGAGGCACCCTTCCCCAGGGTGAGGGTGAGGCTCCTCCCACCTCAACCTCCTCTGGCCACATGGCAATGCCAGCCTGCTTTTCCTGGCATCTATCTCTCTAGGTCTGGGGTCTGTAGTCTTCTCTGTCTAGGTCTTTATGGGGAGAACAGCCCCTAGTTTTCCTAAAGTCAACCTTTGATTCTCCCTGCCCTAGTCCCAGGCTGGCCCTGACCTCAGCATTTGGGGTGCATGTGAGCCCAACTTCTCTTTTCACTTCTGCCACCACATCTGACCAGACCCCTGCCTCCTGGCTTAGGGTCCACAGCTTCTTCCACTCTGGGCTCCCCTCGTTGGGTCTCTGTGCCTTCGGTACCTGTAACTGTTTCCCTCTTGATGCTCTGCCTCCTTTGGCCTCGCTCTCTGTATCCCTCCCTGTTGGTGTCCCCCACAGCACACAACTCCGACATGCTCCAGGACACGGTGGTACCTCTGCTCAGCACTCAGCTCTGCAACAGCTCTTGCATGTACAGTGGGGCCCTCACTCCCCGAATGCTGTGTGCTGGCTACCTGGATGGGAGGGCAGATGCATGCCAGGTGAGGTTTCCCTGCCAGGGACATGGTGGTGGACAGGGGGGTAGGGTAGGAGGGATGGGCAGCTGGTCCGAGCATGTTAGCGAGAGAAAGCCACTCAAGGAGGAGGGGTTCCTGGGTAGGACCAGCTGTGCTCGCTGATGGTTTACATCCACTGCTGCCATGTTTATTCAGACTCCTAACACCACAATAGGTCAGCGTAGAGCTGCCCTACAAGGTTTCCAGCTCTTTATGGGAGCAGAGAGCCTCATCTTTCTCTTGCAGAGCAGCTGGTGGGTTTGAACTACAACTTTGCAGTTAGTAATACTACACTGAACCCACAGTGCCACCAGGGCTCCTGAAGGCTTACATAGGGGTAAGACAAGCACGTATCCATGCAGGAAACAGGAAAGGCCTGGGATGGAGAGTCCAGCATTCTCCCCCTGCAGCTTGATGACACTTCACTAGGAAGGGTTGACTGGCTGTTTCTCCATGTCTTTGTCCCTGGGTCTCTCAGGGAGACAGCGGGGGGCCTCTGGTGTGTCAAGATGGGGGCACATGGCGCCTGGTAGGGGTGGTCAGTTGGGGCCGAGGCTGCGCAGAGCCCAACCATCCAGGAGTCTACGCCAAGGTAGCCGCCTTCTTGGACTGGATCCATGACACAGCTCAGGTGAGTTTAGAGGCAGGGATAGGGCCATGGGGATGTCTGGAGAAGGCTCCTCCGAATAGGTGGAGGAACTTATAATAAAGTTGACCCATGGAGTGTCTATCAATTTAAGCATTGACTGAGAAACAGAACACCTGAGTTTCTAGCAAGTTACTAAGATTGTTAAGCCTGTTTCCTGGGGATCACATCATGGATACCTTACTTGCTGTTGTGAAGATTACATGGTGGTGGTGGTTACGTACCGTGGAGTCGACTCATATCAACCCTGCATAGGGTTTCCGAGGCTGTAAATCTTTATCTTTCTCCCACGGAACTGCTGGCAGTTACAAACTGCTGCCCTTGAGATTAGCAGCCCGATTTGTAACCACTATGCTACCAGAACTCTTTTAAATGAGGTAAGACCTTGAAAATGCTTAGCACAGAGTGAGACTTATATATAGTAAGTGATCAATAAGCGTTGTTTATGTATTTATTTATTGTCATCCTTCATCCCTGGATGCCCACATGCCCTACCCAGTGGAAAGAATTTAGCATTTAGGTATCTGGGTTCTGCAACAAATCAATCCTAGTGTGATATTGGGCAAGCTGTTTAATCAGTATCATCTGTTCAAAGGGAGGACCGTATGAAACAATGTGCATCCACACACTTTACTGGGATTAATTACTTTACAAATGCAGGATTTGTGAATGAAATCATCTTTTTCCAAGGATGGGCATGGTGGGAGGATCAGGGCGCACTAGATAGTAAACTTCAGAATTCATAAGGGACACATGCATCTACTCATCCAGACTTTACAAAAAACCCAGAGAAGCAGATTCTTTAACCCCATTTGACAGATATAGAAATCAAGGTTCTGAGTGGTTAAGTGATTTACTTAAAAGTAAAAGTTGCTCAATCAGATTGTGAATCCAGTTCTTTTATGTTTACATCCACTTGTTTCCGCCAGTCTCACTGCATACCAGCCTCATGTTTCCTGGGGTTTCTGGCAGGTCCACTAGATGGAGGAGAAGCAGTAGCCCCGGATTCACTACCACTGCAGGAGCCAGACAGCGGCCACCCTCAGCCTGGATGCTGGATGCTGGATGCTGGGCTACAAGGCCTCCTCCCTCAGGCCCTGATTACAGTTCCTCCTGCTCACTTGAGAGGCTCTCTGAGAAAAGAGCTACTGGGGCTGGCTTGGGAGGGGAGGGGTGCTGAGTGATGTGGGGAGAAGGAGAGAGGCAGGAGTTAGAGGGAAACATCTGCAGGAAGCAGCTGGAGAGTCTGACCTCCTGCCCCTGTCCCTGTCCCCATAGACCCTGCACACATCTGGAAGAATTCTCAGGGAGGCCCTCAAGTCCTGCCTTCTCCCTGTGTACTCAGGAGGCCCAAGTGCCTCCCTAGAGGAGCCTTTGGCTGGGAGGCTTCTGGACAGATGGGGTCAAGGGTGGGTCAGTTCATACCAAGCTTACAGGGTCTCTCACCTACTTCCTGAACTCCCCTGAGGATCCACTTCCTGTTCTTACTTCAACACTTTCTTTCCGTTTTCACCTTAGCTCTGACTGGCAGTGGGTGAGGTGGGAGCATACTTAAACAGGATATTGGAATAAGATTGGGAATATGGTGTTTGTTTTAAAATTACAGTTCTGTGACATGATCCAGAGAGTTCTGTTATTAAAAGTGAAGTCATGTATATAGTCGTGGTCCAATTTTGTTGTTGTTGTTGTTAAGTGCTGTCCAGTAGAGTCTGGACTCATAGTGACCCTGTATAGGGTTTCTGAGGAGTGACTGATGAGTTTGAAGTGCCAACCTTGTTCAAATGAACCTTGCGGTCCAGTGTTTATCCTTCATCAGAATAAAATGACAGTTTCCTCCTATACATGTTTCTTTAAGCTTTGGTGCTTCTAACATTTTGAGATTTGGAATTTTGACATGCATTTGTTTATTTATAGGATCTAAATTCCTTACATCTACATATCAGGATATATAACCAAAAGCCTCATCCATCCAGGTGTTTGGATGCTACGCTGTGAGGTTGAGAACCGCTGACGTCAGAGATGTGTTAGGAAAGGTCTGGCTTCCCCATAAGACCCACTTCATCTTCTTAGCTCTTGTTTCAGATCAGGTTCTTTTGGGCTGGGGAAGCTTCTTTCTTGTTTATGCCCAGTTATCATTTTCCTGGTTAAGCTGCTAAGCCACTCACTCTTCTCTAGCTATTAAAATGCAATTGGCGTCTTGTTTCCAAAATCTGCAATGAATTTTTTATGGTGTGTACCCAAAGAAATGCAATTAGCATTTAGCAGCAACACCGGTTTTGTGAGTTTTATCAGCATATTTTTTGAGGGATAGTACAAATGCATATCCATTCCTAGAGGGTCTTTTCCCTCTGTAGGAAGCGCATTAAAAACTCAGCGCCCAGAGTACTGTAGCTTTATGACTTGGACTATGAGGTTGCTGAGAACGTGCAGTCAAATTGCAGAAACTATGTGGGAGAGGCACTGAAGGGTGGCACAGAGGCTCCTCCTCAGAGCTCAGGCCCCTTACCTTGATTCTGAGATCAGCTCCTATCTAGGCAGGCAGTGATGGAGCATCTGGTCTTTCACAAATCCATCAACTGTGATCATTGTTTCATTTCTTATGCACCCATATTCATTCTCTTATTTAAAGGGAGGTTTTAATTTATTACAGTTCTTACTGTTGTATAGGGTTTCCGAGGAGCAGCTGGTGAGCTTGAACTGCCTGCCTTGAGGTTCAAACCGACCTTGCATTCCAGTGCATTAACTTACAGCATCACACCAGGACTCCTTTACAGTCCTTGTGACTTGTCAATAATCATTAGTAACATTTGAATCACATGCTACAGTTTAGAAAATGGCTAGCAAGTTGTTATATCTCATTTAAATCTCACACCATCTATGTGGGGAAGGTATTATTATTGTTGTTGTTAGGTGCCATTGAGTTGGTACCGACTCATAGCGACCCTATGCACAGCAGACTGAAACACTGCCTGATCCTGGGCCAACCTCACTACTGTTGCCACGCTTGAGTCCATCAATGCTGCCACTTGGCCAATCCATCTCGTTATTACTATTCCCACTTTAAAACCACTGGCCATCAAGTCAATGCCAATTCATGGGGACCCCATATGTTCAGAGTGGAGCCATGCTCCATAGTTTTCAATGGATGATCAGAGGTACTTTTAAGGTACTTTTTTGGGGACTCCAAGCTCCCATCTTGTGGTGAACAGCTGAATGTGTTAACCATTTACACTACCCAGATCCTCCTATCCCTACTTTACAGACATGAGAATCAATTCAGAGAGATAAGTGACTTCCTTAAGACCAGCCAGTTAGTAAGTGCCAGCATCAGGGCATGACCTCTGGGTCTTTGACTCCAAATCCACATCGGTACCTTGTACGTAGATGAACGAGGGGGTCCAGTATTCACAGAAGCATAGAATTGGAAGGCACCTTCATAAGATCATTTGATCTAGTCACGTGTCTACAGTAGCGCCTTGCCATCCCTCATTGGAGATATAACTGAAATTCAGGGACACTTCACAAGTCCTGCCTGAGACCCTTCTCAGTTTTCACTGAGATCCAGGGTCTGACTTCAACATTACAGAAGCATGTCTTCCACAGCAGGACTATAAAGCATATCCTAATCAGAGAACTCACTAATAGCTGGTCCTGGTATGGCGCTGTGGGTTAATTCACTGGATTGCAAATTTGGTTTGAACTGCAAGGTCGGTGGCGATTCAAGCTCACCAGCAGCTCCTTGGAAACCCATACTGGGTCACTGTGGGTTGGAACCTGACTCAACAGCACTTAACAACAAGAACACTATACCTAAAGACGTTCCCGGCGTGTTTTTCCAGGTTAACAGTCCTATTTACAGACTCAGATCACATCTGCCCTTTCTTTGTTAGCGTCTGCCAGTCCAGCCCTTAGCAAAATGAAGAGAGGTGAATGGTCCAGGCCAGCTTTGTTTCCAGTTCCCAGAGTGGGGGTAGAGGCAAGGGAAGGTGGGTGGATTCAGGTCCAGAAGGATTTTAATGAGGACCAGCTGGGTGCCCAGCTGAGCAAAGCTCTGTAGGGAATTGAGAGGTAGAGAAGCCAACTGTCTTATTGGAGTGATGAGACTTACTTGGAATAGATTATTAGTGGCCACCCAGGCAGGAAGCTGAGTGGGGAGGCAGTAATTTCTATAGAAGCTCCAAGGGATAGTTGTTGAATAAGTCAGGGTACTTCTGTGTGCAGAAAACCCAAGAGGATTCAGCATCCTACATGCCCGGACAAAGCTCTGGAACCTTCTGAGACTCCGTAAGAAGGACATTCCTGGATACCATGCCCAGGGTGACCGAAGCCTGCATCCACCTGCTCTTTCTGTGATCTCATGGGGTTTCAGTGGATGACAGATTCTTTCTCTTTGTGGCAATTTTTGTGGAGTTGTGCTTTCCCTGGAAGTGTTTGCGAACAAAGAGGCAGTCGTACCATTCCTGGGGGAATATTCCTCAGGCTTTTTCCTGCATATCATGTTTGGAGGTGCTGGGCTCACCCCCAGTACTGTAAGTGGTATAAACGCCACATACTGACACAGTTGCTGTCAGGAGATGGCTCTTTCTGAGACCCTCCACTTTTCTCGCTCCTCTCCCTCTCCTGGTGGTACATACAGGACCCTTGTCTTAGTTATCTAAACAAAACCAGCAACAATAACCCACTGCCACCGAGTCAATTCTGACTTGTAATGACCCCACGTAGGGTTTCTGAGACAGCCAGTCTTTATGGGTCTGACCTGCTAGCAGCTCAGTGCCTAACCATTCAGCATCCCACCTACCTGAACAAAGCTCAATTACCAGGGCTCCTATTTAGTTGTCCAGTGCTACTATAATAAAAATACCACACTTGGGTGCCTTTCACAAATACATTTCTTTTCTCACAGTTCAGGAGGCTTGATTTCTTCAAATCTTGGGTCCTGGCTCTAGGGGAAGGCTCACTCTTTCTGCCCACTTTGGGGAAGGTATTATCTGTCTTCAGTTTCTGTTCCTAGGTTCTAGGCCATCATGGGACATGCATCTTCTTCCCTGTGCTTGCTTTCTTGCTTAATCTGATATTTTATACATCCAAGAGATGGATTTAAGACATACCCTGGTGTGGCTATGTAGGATAAGCACTGGACTGGAAGGTTGGTTTGAACTGTGAGGTCAGTGGTTGAAACTCACCAGCCGCTCCTCAGAAACCCTATACAGGATCGCTGTGAGTCAGTGGAAGCTTGTGTGTTGTTAGGATGCTGAATAGGTTTCAGGTGAGATTCCAGACTAGGCGTAAAGGGCTGGTGGTGTACTTCTGAAATTCAGCCAATGAAAATCCTATGGATCATAGCCATTGAATCCCATTGTGAATGGGTTTGCCATGAGTCAGGCCAACTTGCAGCAAACAACAACAGATAGGAAGTAGCATCTTACTTCTGCGAGATAAGGCTGATCTTTCTTTTATATTCCATTGCCAGAAAGGAAGAGATGGAGTAGGTATCCTTGGGGGTTTGGGGTGCTTTCAGGGAATACCATTTGAGGTCTTGGGGAATCTGCTGGAGAAATTTCTTCAGCAGTTTATACCAGAGCTGGGAAATGAAACAAGAGAGAAAGAGGCTCTGGCCTGGGAAGGCACAGTTCTCTCATCCATATGCCTCTCTCAGAACAGCAAGCAGACTCCAAGAAGGCAGAGGTTCCCACAGGGAAGCATTTACCCTCTGGACTGCAGATCTCTGTGCCCCCTTCCTCCCTTCCAAGGAATTGCTGACCGGGACATCTGACAGCAGGAAACAGCTGCTGCGTTCTAACCATGGTGGTGCATTCACCTGGGACTGGACTATTCTGAGCTAGTGACTCAGTCTCTCTGGATTTGGGGTTCTCACCTACAATAAAAGGGTCTGGACAAGGTGGTGTCTATGGAAGCTGCTGACTCAAACTTCCTTTGTTTCTTGTCACATTTCCCCATAACTGTCCAGACTCAGGGAAGGAAGAATTTCAGGAGATCTTTTCCACAGCCCCTCAGTCAGCCCCTCAGTTAGTACCTGGAGTCCCAGCTTGTCTTGCTTTTAAAATGGAAAGTACTATGTCTCAGGAAACCCCTTAGTTGCAGGCAAACCACGACAGTGGGTCACCCTAAATCCTTATGTCTTCCTTCTGCATAAAGGGAGTTTTGTGCAATCAACTGCCTCTCAGTCTTCTTTCAAACCAAACCCAAACCAAATCCACTGCCATTAGGTCAAAGTGACCGTGTACAGGGTTTTGAAGACTGTAAATGTTTATGGGGGCAGATAATCTAATCTTTCTCCCACGAAGCAGCTTGTGGGTTTGAACCACAGACCTTATGGTAAACAGTTCTGCCAAAACTCCTTTGCCT